ATAAAACCACATACATTCCACTTTGCCTATACTTGACGATGTTATGGAAACTCTCATTCGAAATCTGAGTCCATGTAGTTATTATTGCATCACAAATTTCTTCTGGATTGATTGGCTGCATATCCACGATTCGAATTTCCCTTTTCAGTACATCCCGAAGGTGCTCTATGGTAATGAAATCCACCGTGGAGGCCACTTTAACGAAAAAAAAATGTATTTCATAAACTAATCTTCCACTATTTTCATTTTTGACACGGTGCGTTGTCCATCTAGATGTCGTCACCAGAGAACGGGTTCACCGTATTCATAAATTGAGACAAGTGATCAGCCACAATAACTAGGTAGACTGCAACATTTAAATGTTCTTTTATTGGTATCAAGAGCCCCGATGTCTGTTGAGAAAATATTTCCCATATCATTACGACACGAATAGCAGCCTGTGCCGCTGATACAAGGCAGGTTGTCTCCATATGTTCATATTGTTTACACAAACTTCTGATTGTCGCAGCAGAAATCGAGACTCATAGGACAAGGTAAAGTTTTTCTAGTCTTCTCTTACCAGTTATTGTGACTGTAATTTTACCCTGACAGGTATTCCACCCATTGTGATCTGCTGCTGCTTCAAGGTTCGAGGTTTTGTGCGTTTAAACATATTCGTTAATATGCCTCTGTTGTTAATAGTGATTTTTGAAGTACTATTGCCTTTATGTCAGCTTGAACTAATCTAGTCATTCTATTTCGTCCGCTTTTATCAATAAGGGATTTCCACCTACAGAATTGCCAATGACTGAAAATCCAGGCAAAACAGCAGTCATTGAAATACTCGTGGCCACCCGTTTGACACCAACGGCCATGCTGCATTTAAAGTCAATTAAATTCATTGTTGGGTCCATAATAATGCATGAAATGAAATCTAGAAGGTCGACACGACCATTTTAAAACTAATATCTAATAAATTACAACCTCATTATTCTACTGGTTAATATGTTATTTGCTTTTTTTTAAATACTCAAAAAATTTCGCTCTCCGATCATTTTAGTTAAAATTATATCCAATGTCGGGTCTGCTATGGTATCAGGCGATATATTCCCTTGTTTTACCTATCAAAGATAAATATAAATTTAAACCTGAATTACTCTCGGGATGAGAACTCTAGATCTCCAGCTCCAAAAACTGCAAAACTTCTATTCCATATAACTTTCTCAAGATTTTCAACTTAAATTTCTTCATCACGGTTTGAGAAGAGATTCGACGAATAAACCTTTCTTTCAAAACCCTTGCTTATTTGACTCGTTTCTATTTCAAACGATAAAAGCCAGATCATTTTAAGTGTTGTTAATCAATTAACATATTGCCCCAAAATTACAAAGCAAAGTAACCGGTATTTTTACCCACTGTAAACCAAGCATGATTTTCTTCTGTGGTACGGTAAAGTGAAATCACTTCTAACCTATTGGGATTGATTACAATGAAAAGGATGAAGCGAAAGGAGTATCAGGAATAAAAGTTGCCCATGACCGTTTGAATATCCGATCAAAATGAAAATGCAACGCTTGGAAGCAGCAATTTATTTTGGTAATTTAGCAAAGGTGGGAAAGATCTAAAAGAAACAAAATTGTCTACACAAAATTCGATTCTCTTGTATTGATTAGTGATTAGTTTAGTTTAAAGAGGATTTTTTACAACACGTTGAGATCCCAAAATGAAATCGGAACCTTTGTTTTGATTTTTTTTTTTTGTTTATTCTGTATTTCAGGTTAGATTAACTTGTACAGCGAGAATTACTTTAATTCTACCGGGATTTATTGTCAACGGATCTAATCACAATAATTTACATTCGATTGATAATACTATCTTTATGTAAAGTTCAGGGGAAAAAAATAAAAAGAATTAGATATTCAGTCTATGAAAGCAAGAAGAAAAGATTAAGTTAGAATACCTGATTGTCAAGAAAAGATATTCAGTTACGCGTCAAACAAAAAAATAAAAAAAAATAAAGCAGGTGTGGAAATTCAACGACTTATTTTGTGTAGTTGCAAATGTGACACAAATCCGAATGTACATAACTAAAACATGAAATGAACAGATCATAAGGAAGGGGAAATACATAGATATCTATAACATGTTGGGCTCATTTTCCATAGTTATACAAAAATTGGATGCTAAGTTCGAACAGTTACTACTGATTACTAAAGTTTCGCAGGTCTTTGGTAAATCTATTCCCACTTGATGTCCTGTTGTTGATTATGCTGAACTTAGTTAAGCTCAATGAATATCATCCACTGATAAAACAGAAATAGTAATCTTAGCAATTTCCTTGCGAACAATTCTATAATCTGCCTAGCTAATACAGAGTGTGTGTGTGGGGGGGGTACTGCGGATATCAGCACGAACAATGGAACCGCTAGTTTGAGTTCAAATACTGAGTGGGCTTGTTACATTCACTCCATACTCTGCTCTTTAGAAAGATATGAATCTACTTCCCAACCGTTATAGGGTAAATAGTAGTATCGATTGGTATCTTTATTCTTGGGAAAGTAGCTAGTCTTCTACGAGAAGAATAACTTTGAATTATTATTATTATTATTATTATTATTTAAACCCCAGCCAACACGTCATAGACCACCATAGTCGAGTATGGACAATTACACCCCATGTCTGACAGGCTTCGTGAAAGATTGGGCCTAACCGAGAACTGAACAATTTGGAAAACTTATTTTGACATTGGTCTATATTTCTGAGATGAGGTATTGTAACTATTTACCTTGTTCAAACTGTTGTTCTCATCTTTATTGTCATATTCACAACGTTTCGGCTGTTGTACGCTCCAGCAATCCTCAAGTGTTTTATATACCGTCCTATGAACACTATTGTGCATGTTCCACTCCTCATAAATACGTTGGACACTATTGTAATTTGGGTTAATATGCCAAGTAGTTCACCACTAGCAGTGGTTTACCTACTTCACGCTGCTGGCGAGTATTGTATTTTGTTGATGTTATAAAGATTACCATTTCCAGCCTCCGTTTTGCTTATTTTTCATTCAGTAACCTTTTCTAGGTTAAAACAAAGTGATATACGTTGGAATTCCGAACCAACCATTTATTTTGTCCACCGAGTTATTGTTCTAGTTCCACGTGTCACGCCTTTTCTATATATCTCAGTTTTAGTTCATTAATTCCTTTTAGCAACTCAACTTTCAAAATTTTTGTTCACCTCTGCTGTGGCCGGGTATTGAACTCACAACTCTTTGGATCAAGTCATGCTTTTATCTACTGGGCCAACGCATATCACCTGAAGAATGCCATGCGTACAACAGCCGAAACGTCGTGAATATGTCAATAAAGATGATAACAGTCCGAACAATGTAGATAGTGTAAATAGTTATTCTGACACGTTTCACTGATCAGTGTCATCAGAAAAACGGATTTAATTCCGATCAAATCTAAATTGATGAGACAAAACATGAGAACATAAATCATATGATCGCTGGATTATTATTTCTTTTTTAAATTTTAAATGTATCGGTTTTGTAAATTAGATTTTGATAATTCCAACTCCGTTTTATCTATATATTCCTTTGTTTTAAAATTTTTCGTAGAAATCCTACATTGTTTCAACACCACTTTAGCAAGAACAGGTCAGAAATTGGAAGAAGAAAAAAGGGTCGTATATTAAGAGGAGTGAATTCGCAGACGATGGCACTTTTAATGCATTTTTGCCCGAGTTGATTATCTTCGTCTTATATTTAAAATTGTCATTATAATTTATCATCATAAATTATCTTCATCACTCTTTAACCATGAGAGACGGAGAGAGAAAATGTGTATGCATGTGAGTGGACACTAATCAACATTGCATGGTGGCTGTCAGTTTCACCCCTCAATATGATCTTCAAACCAAGAGACGCTACTCTTTTACCGAGTTGTGTATATAGGTAACTGGGATTAACTGAAGTTGAGCAAAGGTGAAAACCGGCCCTCTACAGTTTTGTTTAGGGCTAAAGCTTAGGGTTATTCATGGTCATGACCTCTAGATTGCTGGCTTATTTGTTTACACACACACACACACACACACACACAATTTATTTATTTATTTTATATATTTTTATTTGATCCTAAGTTTTAGTATTTGGAATAAGGTAGGCATCTCCACAGAGTTTTCGTTACCTAAGATTTAAAATTATTTTTTTTTTAAAATGAAAAATCGTTCTTGAAGCTTTCGTTTTAGCTTTAATTGAAAGCTAACTGATTAAATTTACCATTTTCCAGTAACCAAATAGACATTACATTAATTGTAATCTTTTTGGTCGCTTTCACAAACTCGGCCATTTTTGACACATTTTGATATTTGTAAACAAAAGTTAATTCTCGGTTTTAAAAATCTTCCAAATATAAAATATATTTTTCTGAAGCTTTATTTGAAGAATATTAACCGATTTAAAGTATGATTGATATGATTTAAAAAAAATATTTACTTTAATTTTAAAATAACTGAGAAATGGATTTTTAAAACAAACGGTAGCGGTGATTACGCGCTTATCACCGTCTCTAGTCACTAGTAGATCACTTAATAAGTGATGATAAAATCTGTCAACACTTTTACTGTTACTCTACGGAGAATATATCTGTTAATATACAATTTAAAAAAAAAAAAATGACGGATGAGCGTCATTTTTATTTAATTTTTAAGTACTCAGAAATCTTTAAAATGTTGGAAAATATTCTCCGTAATCTGATTTTAGGAATGTTGAATTTAAAGTTACTATAATCAACGCTTTTATTTACCGATTATGTCGTGTATGGTCGACCATACATTAAAACAAGGGAAAGTTACGTTATACTTTATATTCATAAAAAAAATAATTTAATGACACCTTCTCTTCCATTCAATGTACACGCCTCCCTCGTCATTACCATTTTTTCTGTAATACTCTACATTAAATAGCTCTCAAGCCAGGATTCATTTTGGACAATAATCATCAAAGTACCATTACTTACCTGGAAAGCGAAGTCAAAAGCCACCATAAGTGTATGGTAAATCCTGCAGGCAATAATACCGAAAGACCAGTTGAAGAAGTAAGTGTGTGTGAAAAGAGAATGTCCAAAGACGCCCCATAAAATCCCATTAATCGTATAATTAAGAAGGATTTTGTCTAACGGACGCATATTTCCAGTGCCAGATTTGGACATCAAGGTGATGAAGAGGAAAAGGTTTGGCACTGTCACTAAAATGCTAACGCCAATATGTAGTAAGTAATAGTTGAACTCTTGATCGGGTCGGCCGAGTTTATCCGAACCATATCGATTCCGTAAGCCATAACTGGGATATTCAAATTCAAAGTCAGTCATCTGAAAAAAAATAAAATAAAATAAAATTAGTAAATCGATTAGTAAAATACCAATTGAAACAAGACAAAAAAAGTCAAATACAAACTCGTAAATATGGTATTGGTACTAAACACTTTACCATTATTCCTCATGACTCCACAACTTGCCATTTATCCTGTCAGTGCCACATTTTCTAAGCCCCCTTTCATCCTTATGCGTCCTAGAAATTTCGACTCTCTCTTTTCGATGTTCTGTATAGGTGTGCTTTCTGTTCCTATTTTCTCTAAAACTTCTGCATTTCTCACATTTCCAGTATATGTTATTCTCGAAATCATTTTGTAAAACCTTATTTCAGTTTTCTCAGGATTCTTCTTCATCTGGGATGAGATTGTCCAGCATTACTGCTATATAGGAGGACTGATATTACATAACAGTTCAGTACTCTTTTCTTACTTTTTAATCAGGTTTTCCTGTTACTTAATACTTTACTTAGCTTTTGAAAGGCATCTCAATGCGCCTTCGGATTTCAGTAGCACATTTTCTGTCTTTTTGTTAAAACAGTTCCTAGATATTTAAATTTTTGTGGTTGCTCCATTTTGACATGTCCAATTTGTAATTCGCATGTTGGGCTCTTCTTTTTTTGCTGACAACAATAAATTCTGTCTTTTTACAAATAATTTTTAGTCCTTTCTTTCAATTTCATTTACAGGAAATCCTAAATAATAGTATTTACCAGTTTGTGTGTGCTATCAACATTGTATCATTTGCATATCTAATGTTGTTAAGATGGTGGCCGCCAATAATGAACCCATTATAAATCTCTCAGAATCACCTCACCGTAAAGGTTGAATAATTCTGTTAAGAAGACCCCCTTGGTCTACATCCCTTTCTGTTTTTGTACATTTACTGAATTCATTTTTCTATATCAAACTTATCTAACACTTCTAAAAGATTTTGCGAAGCATTTTATCAAACGCGTTTGCATAATCTATAAAACATGGGTACTGTTGGAAAATGAAATAAAATCAATAAATGAAATGATAATCGCGAATTCCGTGAGCCATCAAGGTCGTAGGGCACCATATGTATTGCAGCCGCAGTAGAAATGGTGTTTCTTGAAAAAGATAAACTGACGGAACCCAACCGGAACCCTACATGCCGTTTTTTTTGTTGTTTTTTTTTTAATTCAGAGTTACCTTCTAGACCGGCTACCACCAAAGGCTATAGAACCCAGTCTGTCCTGTTATTTACCCATAGATAGGACGAGAAAAGAAGAGGATCCATGCCTTTCCCAACGGTATTAGCACGTAAGTTAATATAATGGATAATACTGAATAATAATAATAATAATAATAATAAAGCAAAAAGAACTACATTATCCCATTATGCTAGTAATAATGGATCCGGAAATTTTAATATCACACGTGACTTCGTGAAAAAAGACAAAAATTTTCGTTTTTCTCTATCTCTCTTTCTCCCTTCAGGATGTATCAGAACTTGGATAACAAGTGTCCCCCACTGAGGTACGTTCGTCTCCCCTGTCTACTGACAACTGAACTCTCTTGAGTTCAGTCGACACTGTTAGGGTTTGGGTTGACCCTAATCCTAAAAGTTTCCAAGGTAGAACATTCGGACGTGTTTTACAGCTCCACTCATGAAACAAGTAATTTGTTGGCTCAAGATCAGCGCAAAGCTGACATGAGCACGACCATTTTAAACATTGTTTTCCTTATTTACCCTAAATTACTTCTGGACCAGAAAGAGAAAACAGACATACCCAAGAGATATTGAGAACTACAGTTAACACTATAAAAGAAAAAAAAATAAATAAACGGTTTGTAGTAGAAACACAAGTTTTTGAATGATTCTTTGTTTACGCGTGAACACACGTCCACCTAAAATAAACCCAACAGAAAATCCTTAAAGTATATAATATACATTCTTTTGCTTTTAAATAAAAGTTGTCAGGATAGCACTTACACTTTTCACTAGCTTGTAAATCATATGTTATTATTATAATGTTCCGCCATTTACAAGGTCATTTGTAAAGACATTTATGCGCGAATTGTACAGCTGGAACATATGTATTCATTCGCCTTTATAGTAATGAGAATATTATACTGTAATAAATGTATGCTGTTTATAAGCGGTTATTAAAACCTTCAAATATGTTATCTATGCGCTATTGAATTTTTATTAGATGAAGCATTGTCAAACATTAGTGATTTTTTTCTTTTTATCACACGTACTCAAACTAATATTACGAAAACTACCAGCACGTATAAAAACAATGACATTAAATATGAATTCGAGCAATTAGGGAAACTATAGTGCATGTTTGTATGGATAGCTTTCATATTCTGAGAATCGAAAAAATTATTGGAGCTCTAAGGATACAGCAGCTGTTACCGAAATACTAGCTTCAAGAGGTAAACGAGATCAGAGTTCGAGTCTGCCAAGAGACCACATTTTATAGCCACGCTGTATATAATTAGTCATAGATAGCCGTTAAAAGTATATGAAAACGAATACATAAAGAGTGACTCAAGTCAATGGATATATATATATATATATATATATATATATATATATATATATATATATATATATATATAGCATTAAAAAAAACAAAAAACAAAGTTACTAAAAGTATGTTATTTTTCCATACATTTGAAAAAACACACACACACATATATATCATACAATCGGAATTAAGACACCATTATGTAAATGATCATTTTCACCTTGGAAAATTAAATTTACAGGATTTTTCAAAAAGATTATGTACCGACGGATTACTACCTGTGTGTGTTTATATATATATATATATATAATTTAATTGTTTAACATTCTTTTGATAGATACAAGTATTTAAGTAAATGCTTTGTTTATAATAAACACTATTAAATAACATTTACCGGCCTGAATGTCCGAGAAATTTTCATGGAAAATATTCGTCCTTCGACAGGATTCGAACCTGTATCCTAAATACTTATATCTATAAAAAGTATCTTAAACATAAAAATGTCTTTAAATAATTGTCAGACTTTGTCCATTTCATAATGTGTGACGTCATTTGTTTACATTTGATACGCCATGATCAGTTATGAATGTACGTGAGAGAATCATGGAAAATTGAAATTGACAAGCAGTAAATTCGACATTGCCAACCGAACGATAAGGCACGTCAGGCTATATGACGGTTCCGTATAGGATACAGGTTCGAATCCTGTCGAAGGACGAATATTTTCTATGAAAATTTCTCGCACATTAAATGTTATTTAATACTGTTTATTATAAACAGAGCATTTACTTAAATGCTTGTATCTATAAAAAATGTTAAACATAAATATAATATATATATATATATATATATATATATATATATATATATATATATATATAGTAAAAAGGTAACAAATCCGTTGGTATATAAGCTAAGTGTAACTTTAGAAGATAAAATTAGAATAATAAAATAGAATAACCAAAGCAAACTAATGCATCAAATGAATGAATTAGTTTTAAAATGACGACAGAAAAAGTTTAAATTTCCATAATATAGATTTTACTTTATTATCTACTATAATTCTCTAACTTTTCAAATATCGAATATATAACTTTGTCTATATTTTTAAGTTCTTTTACATATAACTTTGTATTTTTAGTTTTTTTCTTCTTCAATATAACTTGTTTTTGATTTAACTTACCTTTAAAGTTAAAATTTTCTTTTTTTTTCTAATGTATAATTTATTTTATATTATATTTTTAAATATTTTTATTCTTCATTATCACCAATTTTTTGACTGTCAATATGTGGCAGGGATATATATATATATATATATATATATATATATATATATATATATATATATATATAATTTTACAGTAAGCTATATTTATAGGTTGAAGTGTTCAATATCAGTGTGTATATAAAACACCCTGAAGCGACTGTCTGTTTAATGCTTAAGCGCAATACATTTCAATGTACAGTTCTTATGTTTTTTTACCCATAAGTCGTTTCTGCTCATTTACCTTGATTGCCTTTTACTCCCTAAGCCTCTCTGATCTAAGACAATTCTTCGTAGTTGAGAGCAAGACCGGTTGCTCAAGAGAGGAATTAAGTTCAGCTTTCCACTTTGGAGCAGTTTTTCTGTTATTTTTGCTCTCAGTAATCAAGTGTTTATCTTCAGCAGCAGTTCTTACTTTTGATTCTCCAGCACTTTTTTCTGCGCCGGTTTCTATCTGCCTTCATTTCAAATATTGCACCCCATATCTAAAAATCTTCAACTTCTTGGCAATTTGTCTTTGAGAGAAGCCTTTTTGAATATAATTTCAAAATGTGCCTTCAACGCAATGCTTTGCTGCTTCGGTTTTGCCATTTTTAACGAATTCCTTCAGAATTAAAAAAAATAGATTTAGAAAACTATATAAATGCTATCGTCATGCTACAAATTATTTTTTCTTCAAATAGAGACAGTTTTGTTTACAACATTATTACCGAGTTGACATTTAGGACCTGTATTACCATTTAATTTCGATTCAATTTTTTCTAATCTCAAAAGTCTACGGTGAGGGTTAATGGTGAAAAGAAAATGTTTCTCATATCTTATTCATAATTTAGCAAAATGTATTGTGGACAGACGAATTTAAATTTAAACATTTTGGTCGTAAGAGCCTGGAGAAAGATTGAAATATAAAAGCAGTTGCACTGTAGTTATTGAAAGTTTAAGTTTTACTTAAAAAATACAAATATATCATTTTATGGTGTGTTTTTTAAAGAAATTTAGCGTTTCCCCAAATTCTCTGCCTGTAGCATTTATATAAATTTTACAGTGTGGACAAAGGAATCAACACTTCATGGTGACTGTCAGTTTCACGCTTCAATGCGACTTTTGAAGATCGCAATGAGGCGCCGTGAAGTGTTGATTGTTATACCCATACTGTCTATAGGAAATTATGCAATTTCCCGCCAAGGTAAGTTTGAGAAAAAATCGGATCAACTTTGGCGCAATTCCTAATAT